TCTGTGTGATCCCAGTCCCAGCAAGAGCTGGTTATTTGTATCCTCTGCCTTTAGCAAAGTTTGGTAACTTTTTCATGATATGATAATATGACACTCTTAGGATTTAACATATACACTGTGCTAATTGACTTAAAACTCTGTGAGGTAGGTGGCAAGTGGCATTGCTCCCATTTTCCCGAAAAGGGAGTTGAGGCACATCACTTTACCTCCCTCTTGCCGCGTTCATGACAGCGAGTCAGTATCAGCTTCAAGCTGTGAGCTGAGAACAGTCTCCAACCGTCCTTCCCACACAGTCAGCCTGGCAGGGTGCCCAATGTGTTGTTGGGAAGGCCGTGGGAGGAGCCGCAGCCTTGAGGTGGGAGGAACTCTATTAATACCTTAGATTTTTATAGTTCTCTGCCTCTAGAGGACTTGAAGCTTCCTTTGAGAAGAGCTGGCCAAAGTTTGTGACTCATATGCCAGCATTAGGAGAAATGCCATTTTGGAGATGGGCCTTCCTACTGCTCATGCGGCGACTTCCAGGCTCTTGTAGGGACTGACTTCTCACCCCTGGTTACTATGTTCAGGGTTCAAGAAACTGATGAACTAGACAAGGGGTAGTTCTCTTTTTTTCCCCTAAACATCACTCACAGCATCCTTAGGCTTAGGCTCTTAGGCTTTCAGGGTGTCTTCCAACGAGTTGCCCTGATCCCAGGATTCCCTTGGCTGTTGATGAAGCCTATGGACTCTTTCTCAGAACACTGTTTTAAAACGTGTAAAATAAAATACACAGGACGACAAAGGAAATCAAGTATATCGAAATGCAGTTATCTAAATAGTAAAAAAAAAAAAAGACAAAACAAATTTGTGATATAGTAATATATATGGAAGATTGGCCCTGAGCTAACATCTATTGCCAATCTTCCTCTTTTTTTTTTTTACTCCCCGAAGCCCGAGTACATAGTTGCATATCCTAGTAGTAGGTCATCCAGTTCTTCTATGTAGGATGCCACCACAGCATGGCTTGTTGAGCGGCGCATAGGTCCACGCCCAGGATTCGAACAAGCAAACCCCAGGCCACTGAAGTGGAGCATGTGAACTTAACCTCTCAGTCCTGGGGCTGGCCCCTATATGTGCTTCTTTATCGACATGTTAGACAACAAGATCTAGAGGTGGGAAAATAATTAACATAATTTCAAAGTACTAGTGTGTATTCACAATATTTGAAGATATCTGCAACAGCTATAATGTGATATTAAAATATTTTCCTTTCTACTGGTGTCAATGTCACAGATACTAACACGTCTGTCGTTTGCTGTCTATATTTCTACTTGAAAGAAATTTAATGTTTCCATTAAAGGTTAATAAAAACTTAAGATGTATCCCTTTTCCCATCTAAATTCATAGCCCCTCTGAATGCCATCACAAACCCCAAAATCTTGTCCCACTTCAATGCCCCGAAGATGGTCCCTATGCTGGACACACACATACATACCTCTAAATAGCATTAGCCATCTGGAACCCAACAGCCTCTCTCCAGAAAGCTGGATTCTGGGCCAGTCCTACAGTCAGATCAGAGAACAGCCAGCTTTGAGCTTGTGACTATGATTCTCAGACTTTGCTAGTGTGACCAGGCAACAATTGACCTTGAATATAATGGTGCTGCCTTCTCATGTCGGTTCCCAGCATGTCTTCCTATGACAGGTTGAGAAACAGACCTTCTTTTAAATGATGTCCTTGCTCTTTGGAAACAATCAAGGAAGTTTAGATGATATGCAGGAATTACCATTCATTTTAAGTTGATGCTAATCAGGTGGATGAAAGCATTGTGGTTATGAAAGAAAACATCCCTATTTTTTAGAGATGTATACTGAATATATAGGGGTAAGTAACATATCTTGGATTTGTGATTACAATTTTTTAATTACTCTTGGTAAAAAAGGAATGAATGAAACAAGTGGTGAAAACTTGAAAATTCTGGACTCTAGCTGATGGTTGCGTGGGGGTTAGTTAAACAATTTTCTCTACTTCAGTGTATATTTAAAATTTTTTATTATTAAAAACCTTAAAATAATTTTTGGATCAGGAAATTAGGTAGAGATTGCTTTTTCATAGTGCCAGTTTACTTCTTTATAATAACTATTATTCAATTTACTTCCATGCACAATACAATGAGTAGATTGCATTGTCTCTCTTATAATAAATATAGAAGATTTAAAAATTGGTTTCGCTCATACCTTTTGCCAGTTTTTGGGCATGGTCTTGCCCTCTAGGAGTTTATATTCAAGTCAGGAAGAACTAATGTATATACATGAAACTACAATCAGGAAACAGCATAAGACAGGTATGGTATAAATGCCAAAACTTGTAGTAAAGATGGAAAATGTGATAGGAGTTCGGGAAAGGGGGAGATCAGTGGCTTTGAGTTGGAAGTTGCTGCCTATCGGTCTCTGAACTTTGGGTTCACTGCCTCCTGCTGTTTAGGCTTCTTTCTTGGCACTCATTTCTCCACAGTGGAATTCCCACTGGATTCATAAAGCTCGGAAGCAACAGCATTCTTGCTCCCAACAGCTCCCTATCCCCTTTCCCTAGGAGGCTGTTGGACACATCCTGAGTCTCCATGGATTGTATGCCTTCATTCTGCTCAGGCTCCTCTATTTCATCTTTCTATTCAAGATGGTGAACTGCAACCCAGATGCTAAGTACCACCATGAACATTCTTACACACTCAACCCAGTGTGGTCCCTGGCCCTGTGTGGTGGCCGTAATGCTTGCCAGGCAGGCAGCCAGAGGACTACCATGCCTGAACCCAAGGGTTGCCTCGGAGGAGAGCCCCTTCCTGCCAAGCGCTAAGGAAGGGGACTCTGGCCAGCAATAAAGCTTCCCAAAGATCTACCACGAGGGGACAATGAAAGCAAAGGAGTAGGTGTCTAAGCACGACTGTGGAGGCCAACTGGCAACAGCTGCTGGGGCCAAAATCATTGCCCCCAGAATGGGCTGGAAGGATGTGTCAGAGCATTTTGGGGGGGGGGGGGGCGGATTGCGGTGTTGGGAATCCCTAGAAGGCATTGAAGAAGACCTAAATCCTGGATGATCTAATTTTTTTTAAAAAGTGGTTTCTTCACATTGCTTAGGTGATTTAAACCAAAGGAAGTTTTTCTTTTTCTTTTCTTTTTTTATCTTCCTTTATTCTCATTCTGAATTATCTGAGGCACTGGGGCCAGGTTACTTGGTGAGGCTGAGTTGGCAAATAGGTGAAGCAAGTGTTGGGAGAGGAGGTGGGATGCACATATACCAATGATGCCGTTCACGCAAGAGCTGGAGATTGCTGTGATTGCCTTTTGGTCCCAGGAAAGGGCTTCTTTCACGGCTTAGAATCACAAGTTTGAAGTGAAAGAGAAAACATCAAATCCATGGGACTTGCCAGTGGTAGGAGTCAAGGAATCTATCCAGGACACACCCCTGACTGACAGATATGCAAGACTTCAATCCAGTTGGCCGTCCGTCTCTGGGACCTGCCTCTCCTGGCCTCCAAATGTCTCCCGGCACCTTCTTGGATAAGGGGGCTCCATAGGAGACTCAGGTCTGCAAGACTTAATTTCATTCCACTCCTCCACTTTAAGGGGGTGAAAACCAAATGCTTTAACATCAGCAACAACAACAGGACTGCCGCTGTTCTGTGTCTAGAGGAGAAGCTTCCCAAAGGAAAAGGCATCAGGCTGTGGCCTTGATTGATGAGAGTGATCTAGAGAGTGACCTCGCCTGATTTGATTTTTTATTTTTCTATTTGATTTTCTACTTTAAATAGTTTCTCTTCTTTATTATCTTTTGACCCCTTCCATAACCTCCAACCTTTCCATAAGTCTGTTCCATATGACAGCTTTGATTGAGGGGAGCTTTGGGAAAGAATGGAGATGCTGTCCAGTGGGAGGGGAAGGAGGGATGGGTCAGCAATCACGGGAGCTGTGAGAGGCCATTCGGAACAGGCTACAGTGGAGAGAAGGCTGGAGCATGGGCGGCCTCACCTCAGGAAGGGATGTGGGATGAGACCCCCTTTCTCCCAAAAGACACTAAAAGTGACCCTGAGGGGAAGGCAGGAGAGGGAAACTAATCCTTACTGGGGAAAGGACTGTACTAGCAGGAGACACTTGGATCCTCAGGTTACATGCGAAAAAAAAATCACATTTCCCTGGTTTGGATGAAAACCCCTTACATGCACCTCTTCACACATGCACATACAGACACACAATTAATCATTCCTATTTCTTGGATTCCCTAAAGTTCTATTTATCTTCCAATACAGCAATTATCACATTATACTGTATTCTTTCTGGCATGCTCATATGTTTTTATAATTGTACTTGTGAACTTTTCCTTTGTATCTTTTGCCAGTAAAGTGCCCAGCATATGTTGAGAATTGTTTGTTAAATGAATATTTGAATAAATGGCTATTACACATATTTGCTAACAAGATGGAACTCTGACTCACTCAGCAGGATCAAGTCTCATTATCATCAAGGAGCTGATGCCAGTTTTGTTCCTACCTTTCTGCTCATCCCTAAACCAAGTGGGTGGACCCTGGACTTCAGGAAGCATTAGATCTGTGGTCACCCACACTGGAATCCACAGTATTCCTCCAGGCTCTGTAGCTTCTGGCTAATGAGGATGTGTGGACAGGCTGGTGGGGGCATGTCACCCACACTGGGCCTGGCAGAGCTGGCCCAGCAGCACTGCCCAATATAGCGGTCAGCTTATCTCCAAGAGCAGCAATGGCCTGGTGAGAAAGAGGAGTGGGCAGGCATGGCTTTTGAGTCATTTGACAAGTGCCTGGAAGCTTATTGCCCCCGCAGCCCCCAAATTGTGCTTCCTCTTTCCTGTCACAGTATCCAAAATTCCATTATCATTCGTAACCCATGCTTTTGGATATTTCAGAGAGGCCAATTTGTGAGTGATTTCTTAACTTGGTGTCTGTGGAGGATTCCGGAATAGTTGAGGGAGGCAGGGTTAGGTGAGGAGGATAGAGAGAAAAAAATGAGAGGGAGATACAGACAGACTCTGCTTCTATTCCAATGGTGGCTTGTGCAGGATAACACATTCTAGAATGCCCTCGGCCCTTCCACGGTTGTCCAGACAATATTGAGAAGCGCTCGGGGTCAGGACTCACCACACAAATGCTTAAACACACGCTTTCTCTCCCAGCCAGAGCACCTGGAAACTCAAGGATGACAGAAACGAGAGAAGGAGAAGGTGCTCTAACCTTGACATGCCGGAGCCCACACTTCCAGCTCCCTTCTCCATCCAGATAAGACCTAGGATCTGAAGAAGAACCCTTTTCTCTATGAAGGCTAAGAACTTAAAAGGAAACACAGGATGGCATTTTCCTGATCCCAAACTGAAATGTCAGTTCAGACATATCCATAAATTTCTTTATCTGAAGTCATAAAAAAGGAAAATAAATTGCCTTTAGTTTACGCTTGATAAATTTCTTTATTGACTAATGGATTTAATTTTATTGACCCCTGATCCAGGAGAGGACTGTCAATTGGATCATCCACCCTGCCAAGACCACTTCTGGAGTTGCTGTTCTGAGCCACCTAGACGAACGCACAGGCCAGCCCCCGGAACCTGCTCTTCATTTGCCTTCCATGCCCAACTTGAACCAGTGATTTGTTATGCTTTTTCTTCTCGTTGTAAGTAAATATTCACTTGGTACCTAATTTTGCTTTTGTGATTTTGTGTTTCTTCTCATCAAGAGGGCCTCCATATTATATAAGCTTCCATCCCCACAAAGTTGGATCTGCTCTGTCATACGTCTGCTCGTGTAGTGCACATTCTTAGTGTGCATACTTACACAGGAAATCTCAATTCCTGAGCGTCCTGATAACTATGATTCTTAGTTAACCAGAATGTTCTCTGCATAATGCTCTTAGAAGCAAGTAATGAAATTAGAAGGAAAAAAGCAGATAGTGGGGATTTCTAATTTTAGAAGTGTAGCAATTGTTCTACTTGATCCCTAATCCTTTTTTTCTCTACATGCACAGAAAGGCACAATAACAGCTAACACTTACATAGTGTTTACTGGGAGCTGGGCCCCTTTTAGTCCTCACAGACACCCCTTGAGGTGGGTACCCTAGCTGTACTCATTTTATAGATAAGACACTGAGACACAGAGAAGTTAATTTTCCCAAGGTTACACCTAATATACAAGATACAGGTGGGAGTTGACCAGGCCATCCAGGTCCAGGATCCAGGGTCTTGACCTCTAAGCTATATCATCTGTGTAGGATCATTGTTTATGTTTGAAATCATGACCCAGTACCACAGAAACAAAATCTTTACTTTGTTTTCAATTGATAAATACTCTCCATTCCTCTCAGAATTCTGTTTAAATGAAGTTATGGTCGCTTCACTTCAAATTTCCTCCCTCTGTCCTCTAGAAATGAGAGACATCCCTCGAAACACAAGTAGTCCAACACATAGTAAGGGGCTGCAGTGGGCTGAGTGGTGCCCCCAAAGACAATAGTCCTAATTCCTAGGACCTGTGAAGGTTATTTTATACGGTAAAGTTTTAGCAGATGTGACTAAAGTAAGGCTTTGGGGATGAGGAGATTATCCTGAATTATGTGGGTGGTCCCTAAATACCATCAAAAGTCTCCTTACAAGAGAACAGCAGAGGGAGATTAGAGAAGGCAATGTGAAGACAGGGCAGACATTGGAGTGATGCAGCCACAAGCCAAAGAATGCCAAGGAATGCTGGCAGCCGCCAGAAGATAGAAGATGCAAGGAACTGATCCTTCTCCGGAGCCCCTGAGGGAGCACAGCTTTGTTGACACTTGAACTTCAGAGTTTTGGCCTCCAGAACTGTGAGAGAATAAATTTCCGTTGTTTTAAGCCATCAGGGTTGTGACAGTTTGTTAGAGCAGCAATAGGAAACTAACGCAGGAGTCAACACACGGCAGCCAATAGTTTAAGCGCAATAATAATCGTAGCTGCCATGCATCACACCCTTCCATTGTATTGGGTAAGCACCGTGTGACGCACAGTCCTCCACTTAATCCTCATAAAGTAAATGAAGAAACTAAAGTCAAGCAGCTACTAAGTGGGAGAGAAAGGATTTAAACCCAAGTCTGTCTGACTCCAAAGGCCATGAACAGAAACACAATAAAGTCAATTCCAACACCTCACATGGACAATTATTAACCTAAAATGACAGCCAAACTCCAACAGTTCTTAATGATTTCTCTGGAGCTAGATTTATTAACTAAACTTTCCCTTTTTGCCCATACACACTCTCACATTTGGTTATCTGTTGGTTCTTCTTAGTGCCACTTAAAAAAATGAGGTACAAACTACTATGAGCCCATTTTCCAAATGGAAGAAACTGAGACACAGAGAAGTCACTTGTTGGAGCTCACCCCAGAGCCTGGCCCCGGAAACTTGCTCTCACCACTCTTCATACCCCTACAGAATCTTGGTCTAGGTGTGTAAGAAACAGCTGGCAACTTTCAATTTTTTAAAGTGGCTTTTGGTTCATGGAGTGGGTGTACCAGTTCTCTGTGCACAAAGGTTAATTAAACCCCTATAAAATGCACAAGCAGCCAGGTCTTTGTCTCTGAGATGACAAAATCACAAATGATTCCTCTTCAAAATGAAGCTTGTCATAATCTGTTGCCAGTGGGTTGCATGTATTTTTCCCGTTTTAACAACATGCACTTCCCTCTTCATCAGAAACATTAGGTCACAAAAGCCAATCTCATCTACATCTTTACAATGTTGTTTCTCATCTTTCTGTGTGCGAGAGAGAGAACTGGTAATGAAGCAGCCAAATTGGCTTCCAGGGAGGATCTGTCCTCACTTAGAATAGTTTCAGAATCCATTCAGGATGCGTCTGATTTCTCATTAAGTCCTCTGAAGCCATTTATTTGGGGCCAGCTTTTCAGGGATAGGGCATCAATTGTGTGCCAGTTATTGGGAATTATAACACAGCATATGCAGTATGACAACACCAAGTCCATTGGATTTGCAGGAGATTACAGGAGGATGTTATAGAAGTCAGCAGCAATTAGACTGAAAACATTTCTGAGCAGAGAGAGAGCACGAACATAAAGAAATAGATTCTTTCCTGTCGTCTGACATCTCTCCTGTGGTCTCTGGGTTGAGCTTACATGAATTCCCACTCCCACCATTCCTTTTTCTGCATTGATTCCTGCCCACTCCCTCTCTCCCTCAAGCAGGTATCATACAAAACTAGGAGTAGGGATGGAAGGTGGCTTGGTGCTTGCGGCCACGCAATGGTGGCTGGCTGGTCAATTCAGCCACGTCGTGGGCACAGTTACGTTCAGAAAAGGGCAGGTGCATGTTATCTCATGAGGTTTTAGCTGACCCATAAACCCCAAACTAGTTCCCAAACCATGAATCATAGTCTTGTCAGGCTCACAGCTGCATCCACGTGAAGGAATTCTAGGTCAGTCTACCCCCTTCCCTCAGTACACATAATAGGCTCAGGAAGAGCTTATAGGAGGGGCACTGGTGAAGTGTTTCAACCTTGCTGGCAACATCGTCTAAAGTTACCAATGTGCATACTTTGTAATCCAACCATTGCACTTTCATGATCCTATCCTAAGAGGACAGAAAAAGAATGCCCTTGATTATAAGGATATATGTGCAAGGGTGTTTATCACAGTATAGTGTCCAATGGTAAAAAACCTGGCAGCAAACTATTTTCATTTTCTGCAGTAGGAAATGGTTGAAGAAAGTCTGGAAAATATATATTATGGAATATTATGCAGCTATTAAAAAGAATGAGTTACAGCTGCGTGCATGAACCTGGAAGGATATCCATGTAGATCAAGTGAAAAAAGCTAGTTGTAGAGTAATGCACACAATACTATATGATCAAACTTCAAATTACCAGGACTTAGTGTCCCCAGAAAGAATATCATCATGATAATATCATCTGTAAATGTGAGGCGGGCTTATCCACATACCCATAATGCAAAAGAAGTCTGAATCCTAAATTGGGTCAGTTTCAATCTAGCTACAGGGGTAGACTCAATAATATGTATATGTCCTGCTCAAGTTTATACAACCTTAGTAAGCCTCATGAAGTAAAAATATCTTTTACCCTCCAGGGAAATCCCTTAAAGTTGGGGTTCTGCTGGGGTGTTAAGTTGAGGATAGGATGAAAAGAAAGCATTTTAGATTTGCCTTTTCAAAATACGCATGACTATGTCTTACCCCAGACCTGTTGAGTCTGAATTTCCAGAAGGTTGAGGATGGGAGATGAAGAGGAAGACCAGAATGTATAAAAGTGCCCCAGGGGACCTAGCCACTCTTTCTTCCTTTTTTTGATCCACTTGAAAATAACTGTTTTAAAAGTATATGCCCTGGAGTCAGCCTGGTAGCATAGCGGTTAAATTCGTGCTCTGCTTCCGTGGCTCGGGGTTCGCCAGTTGGGACCCAAGGCGAGTACCTATGCGCCACTCATCAAGCCATGCTGTGGCAGGTGCCCCCCCATATAAAACAGAGGAAGATGGGCATAGATGTTAGCTCAGGGCCAATTCTGCTCAGCAAAAAGAGGAGGATTGGTGGTGTACGTTAGCTCAGGGCTAATCTTCCTCAAAACAAAAAAAAAGCATATGACCTGCTTCAATTATCAAGAGGCAGAGGTAATGATGATAGTGACAACAGCATTTACAATGTGCCAGACATTGATCCAAGGGTATTAGCATTAACTAATTCATTTCATTCTCACAACAACCTACAAGGCAAGTGTTAATTATCATTATCCCCATTTTACAGATGAGAATAGACAGGTTAAAAATCATGCCCATGATTACAGAGCTAGTTAGTGGTAGAGTTGGGGTTTATGACCCAGGAAGTCTAGCTTCAGAGTCTGTATGAAGATATGTGAGCCAGAGCAAGCAAAACAGGGCAGGCTCATGGGCTCAAAGAAACATTTTCATGCCCGAGTTTAACATTTATCTTGTCCCTTGGATGAGACCTCAAGAGCTGTTCTGTTTCTTATAGCTCGCCCACTGCCACAGTCCTTGTCACTGAATTGCCCTTGCCTTTGAATTGTTCAGTGTATCTGGAGAAATGATTCTGAGAAAATACACTCTACTATTTCACACTCTCTTTGCTCCCTCAGTTCCTCCCTTGCCATGGAAACAGGCTCGTTCATAAGCAGAGAACTATACCGAGTCTTTCATTAGAAGTCTGTACAAAAATGGGCTGACATCTCAGGATGTCTCGTTCTTCTCTACCATGTTCCTAACAGGTGTCACTTTCCAGACCTATCTTTAAAATCAGCCTGTGAGCACTGGCTTGCCTCTGAAATCACTTGCTTAGGGGAGGAGGAGGCAGCAAAGGAGAGAGGTGTATCAATGTTCTTTTCTCTAAAGAAGCCTTGTTCTCAGCCTAAAACATGGAAATTAAGTCTTTCTTGCCTTCAACAATTATGACGTTGTGGGAAGAAAAGTGTCCTAAGAGTTAAGGGCCAGTTCTGTCACTTTTTAACAGTGTGTCTTCAACCAAGTCACTTAACTTTCTGAACCTCAGCTTCAACACTTGTAAAATGGGACCAATAGTTGCTGCTCTACTGACATCACAAGGTGGTTGTCCTGATCCAAATAAGAACCCAGACCTTCTGGCTTCATATTTATGGTCTCCATCCATCCACTCATCCCTCCATCCCTCCATCCATCATCCTTTCATT